CCAGGACATGGTGCCTCACCTTGGGCCCAGAGCAACGGAGTGGAAACCCTGAGCCCCAGATAGACTTTCTCTCCTGGAAGTCGTTCTTGTCAGGTATTTTGGGCACAGCCACGAAAAGCTGACTAAAACACACGGTAAACACAAAAGGACACAGGGTGATGTGACTGGGTCCTGAAAAGACCATTTTTACCGCCTTCTCCTAGTATTGCAGTGTCCTCTGTGATGTGGTAAGCTCTGTGTGGGCAGAGCTGGGTCCCTCCCAGGCCCTCCCAGTCACACCCCCAGAGCACCAGTGGGTCGCGCACTGCCCACTCCCCGTGAGGAGTCACTGAGCAGCATTTCACCCTCATCCTCCCGCCATGCCCTCTAGATAAATGGGCGAATAACAGCTGTCAATTCAAGATTCCTGCTATAAACCACAGCTGCGAAACCATGGGAATGCTTCCTTTGTCTCCTGAAGACTCGAAAAGATTTCAAAAAGAAAACCCTTTCTTATGAATTAAAAAAATATATATATATATTTTAAACTTCCCATTGCTTGCTTCTTAAAAATTACCTTTAAAATTTTAAAATGTCACATTTAACATACACACATGATAGCTTAAGGCCTAGTAATAACATGAACTCCAGGAACCCAACATCCAGCCTGAGAACAGGAATGTCTCTAAGATCACTGACACACACTGAATGTCCCCTCTTGACCCCTTCCTTTGCCTCACCTCCAATCTAGGATAACCACCATCCTAAATTTTCTGGTTATTACCCCCTTGATTTTAAAAATGACAGTTTTGTAATATGAAGTTGAATTTTGCCTGGTTTTGACCTTCCTATAAAACATTATACTATATGTTGGCTCTTCTGAGATTGTTTTGATTCAGTATTCTTTCTAAGATTTACTCTTACTTCTGGATATTGCTGATGGTCATCATTTTCACTGCTATATAACATTCCCATTGTGCGATCACAATATGATGTACTTGTCCATTCTCCTTTGATGACCATTTGGTTGTTTCTCGTTTTTGTGTATTATGAGAAGTCCTGCTATGAATATTCTTTCCAGATGCTTCTTGGCACAAGCAAGAGCAAATCTAAAGCACATACTAGGAAAGCAATTGCTGGGACTCCCAATTGTTCCTGAATATCTGTACATTTTACCTTCCATCAGCAAATAGTATATAAGAGAATTGAGGGAGATGGGATACCATTGAGGTATTAATTTACATTATCTGCTTCCTAATGAGATTACATGTATATTATACGTTGGCACTTTTTGATTCACTGTTAACTTTATTAGCCATTTACTTCTCCTCTGAAATATATCTATTCACAACTGTTGCCCGTTTTATCATTGGGTGGTATGAATTTCTCTTATTGATTTTTAGTAGTTCTTTAAAAATAATCCTTTATTTGTTACACATATTACAAGAATCAACTCTCACACTGCTAATAAACTTTTTATTTGGGAGTAATGTTAAATTTAGGGAAGAATTTCAAAGACAGTACAAAGAATTATCATGTACTATTTACCTAGTTTCCATGAATGTTAATATTTTAAATTATCATGGTACATTTTTCAAAGCTAAGAAACCAACATTGACATACATTACTATCAACTAAGCTCTAGACTTCAGATTTCACCAGTTTCTTTGGTCATGTCCTTTTTTCTGTTTCAGGACCTGATTCAGGAAACCACTGTAAAAGATTTAGTGTGAATTGTCTGAGTTCCCTTTATGTTGTTATCTTTTGATGAATGGAGTTTTTCATTTTAATGTAGCTGCGTTTACCACACTTCTCATTGTGAATTAGTGCCCTGGGAAATTTATTTAAGAATTTCTTCCTGAGTGGATAGTGTAGCTCAATGCCAGAGCCATTACCCCAGGGGCCCTGGGGCCAATCCTCAGCACTGAAAAAAAATTTTTTTTCCTTATACCTATGCTGTTATGGCCCTTCTGTATTTAAGTTTTGCCTTGCACACTTAAGTCTTTCCTTTTGAATTATTGTGCATAGTGTCAGGAAAAGATCCAGTTTCACTTTTTCCCTGTAGTAATAAATGTGCATGTCTTAGTTTGACTTGAAAGTCTCCATAGATGTTTGTGTTTATTTCTGAACTCTCAGTTCTATGCCATGGAGATATATATATATATATATATCTCCTATGCCAGAAATAAACAGTCATTATTATGCTAACTTCATAGTAAGTTTTGAAATCAGGAAATGTGCATTGTTCAACTTCATCCTTCTCAAGATTGCTTTACTCTTCTGGATCCCTTGTGTTTCTGTGGACTGTGTATCATGGGGAGGGAGATTCTTGGGATTTTGATAGGGAATGCATTGAATCTATAGGTCAATTTGGAAAGTATTGCCGTCTTAACAATTTTAAAACTTTCAACCCATAAACTCTGTTTTCTTTTTATTTATCTTCATGTTCTGTAACTCTTTCGATTATATCCTGTAATTTCTAGTAGACAAATATTATCCTTCCCTGGTTAAACTGATTCTTTTTTTAAAAATGCTTTTGTAGTTGTAGATGGATAGCATGCCTTTATTTTACTTATTTATTTATTTTCATGCAGTGCTATGGATTGAACCCAATGTTTCACATGTGCTAACAAGCACTCTATCACTAAGCTACAGCCCCAGCACCCTAAACTGATTCTTAAGAACTTTCTTCTTTTTGGTGCCATTGTAAATTGAATTTTCTTTACTTCATTTTC